ATCTTAAATAAATTTATTATTATTATTTATAGTGACAAAATATTTCTTCCTCAACGTCAAAAGTCGTCTATAGTTTACCAAATAAGGTGGCAAATCTGAAACGGTTGGCTCTGTAAGGTCCAAGAAATGACTTGATTGATGAACAAAAGCCACCGCAGACAATTTGAAACTCTGCTTAGCCGACGGATAATAAGGAAGTGGTAAGTACTACGTCGCCGTGATTTGCTCATATCTACTTCAATTTACTTGAACAGTTGAAAATAAGATGTGATTTTTTCACACTTTGCAGTTATTTCGTGCTTTCAATAGTGATTGTGTAGCACAGAAATCGTACCTGTAATTTAGTTATCGGTGCTGGCAAGATCAGTACCGATACTGAACAAGGATGCAAGATAATGTACTATTAATTACTAAGGATATCTATAATATTTTAATAAATAATATAACGTCACGATTGTTATTCCAGACAGGATAGACATTAGCAATAGTAAAGACATTGTCTGGCTGAACTGACGATGGTTGTCAACGGACCTCAACTTATTTTCGGACTACTCTAATGCTGTTGTCCGCAGCTAGTCTTTATGGCTTTATTGGACGATAGGAGGACTTATTGAGCAATTGAAGGCCAACTCCAGCCTGACATATACGATTTTATTCTAAGAGCACCGCGAGGGGTTTGAACCGCGGCTCATGCCGTCGAAATTTCGATCCCCGTTTGTATTGGACGGGGGATCAATCGAAGGGATACAACATATCAGGCTGAGCATAGCAGGTGAGAACCTTCCACCTAATGATTTTTTTTCTTTATAATTATTATGTAGATTGTATCTGTAATAACATCTTAGTGTACCCAACTTGAACGACGTTAGAAAAAAGTAAAGATGTAAGTACATCTTAATGAGATAAAAGTTCTATTTGTTTGTTTAACATTTACATTAAATCTCTGGGCCAATTTGCAAGAGATAAAAAAGATATGGTGGTAAATGCGTCTGAGTCTTAATTTCTCTTGAGATTTTATCAACACGCAAAACGCGTAATTAAAACAACATTAAAGCTGTGTACTGATGCTGTACTGCTAATGGACTTTTTATATTTATATTTTTATTTTACATTTTATATATGTAGAAAATGTTTTTTATGTTTGGAATAATTAGCGACGAAATAAATAGACAACATGATATTCTATTTTTATGAAATCATGATTCAAAGGTAAGTACCTATTTGCAGTTTTAACAGTTTAGCAAATAAGTAGTACTTAATAATGCCTAGGCTGCGTAATACATTGACGGAATGCAACAAGGTTGCAAGCAGCTACAGCAGAAAACTGATACCAGCTATACCAGAGATACTTTTATGTTAACTTTCATGGCTCCTACCAAATTCGGTGATTTTGCCAAAAATATGATTACTGAGATACAGTGATTTACCTTCTTATACAAAAAATTCCAAACGTGTAGTAAACCTATTTTACCTTTGAATTGTTTTGTATTTAATTTATTCTTCATATATCCAAACAAGCTATTGCCTTCTTGTGATAGGCAGCTTCTATAGTTAAAATAAGTTTGTATGGGTATGAGGTTTTAATTTTATGAATAGGTAAGAAGAGTAATTTACACCGGAAGTTTAGAAATACATTACATACACATACATTACATTTGACATAAAAGTATTGTTTGAAGTCAAAATACTTTCTTAACTAATTAAAAACGAATTGTGTGACAAATATCTTAGAAAACCATATGAAAAATATGATAAAACATATGTTTGATATATTGATAACAAAACAAAACTGTGACTACTGGCGCTGGCGAGTGCATTGACAAATGAGTGAGTGAACTGATTATTATCGAGTCGACCGGTTTACCAAGCGCCAACTTGACGTGCTCAAATTACGTTTACACTAAAGAAGGCGGTACATATATAAGTACAGTTAGTGCGAAAAATAACATATTTTTTATGTAATCGAAATGGCAAACAAGATTAAGGCATCCCACTCGGGCATTGTCATTCCTGGGGACTGATGCATAGAGTACACGTCAATATTTTTATGTTACATCATATGATTTAAACATATTAGGTTATATAAATGAAATATGTAATGTCATAATATTTAGTATCCATAGATGTATATATTATATAATCGAAACGAACAATTTTATTTTCTTCTCTAACCATTTACGCTGACTGTACAAAAACCTATGCGTTAAGAGGTCCATACACGGTCAAGCGCTTCGAAAAGTACGTACAATTTAGCTCTAGTCGAACGTGATTAATAGGCTACAATGTTTGCTTGATGCTTGAATGAAGGTACTTGATGCATATTTCATTTCATATACAATAATAATAATAAAGTATTATATTCCACATTAAACAGCTCTTTATTTAATACTAGCTACGTGCCCCGACTTCGTACGAGTATTCATGTATTATATATATCTTGAATCTATATATTAAAAAAACCGCTTCTTCATTTAAATATTTAAGCATACATAGGGACGGGCAGACAGCGACAGCGACTTTATTTTCTACTATGTATATAAATATTATTATAATTCCATAAGAATGAATTGGAATGGCAAAACCGAAGACAGTCTCCTCATGTAATAATCTCCTCAGTAATAATCGTCGCCTCTATACATAAACACGCTCATGCGTTGCTATTCCGATGGTCTAATATATCGTGCATCTTATGCTGTAATTTGACTGTCTTTTCCCACCCTAAAACTAAAACAGCTTATAAACCAAGCTACTTGGTGACTGAAATAGATAAGACTGGGAACCTCAGACCCATGCATCGACAGTTTACAGCAGCGGTCATCAACATTTTATAAATCGAGGGCCAAAAACATTTTTATTCTGCACAGCGGGCCGCACCATATATATTGTTAGAAGGATTTTTTTGTTTTATATTAAATGCACTTTTTATTACTTAATTTTTGTCGTTATTGAGAGTGGGCCTATGGTATTGGCGGTCCGCAGAAAACACAGCAACGGGCCGCAAACGGTCCGCGGGCCGCGGGTTGAAGACCCTTGGTTTACAGTCTACCTAACAAATAATATATCGAAAATTATATTTAGGATATCGGCTTCTAAATTATAGCCTTAATTAATTATTATACATATGTATATATATAATTTTATTCTGTGCGTATGGTTGTCGAGTAAATCGATTTGGATAATTATTTTCTATATTTATGTTTGGTTTGAAAACACAGTTATTATTTTTATTGTTTGAAACAATAATTAGACGGGGCAGTACCATAGTAACGTCAGTCCGGGTCCGCTAATTATTCAATTATAAATGCAAGACCGATTATACTAACCAAGGATACCTACAAATTTAAGAGAAGCAAAACTGAAAATATGAACTACTTAAAACAAGGCGTCTGACCAACATGCTTGCATGCATGGACTAACATCCTCCTCATATGGAGAGATACCGTTAGTTTTCAGTACGACGGCCAGTACTTTGCTAAGTTATAATTGTAAATTTGCAAATATTATATCAAAGGTTTTATTTCTTCATTAACATACTAATCTTTGATTGATTGACCCTTGATTTTAGCTAATTTTTTAAAAAATTGTATCTTCTTGGTACCTTAAAAATTTAACTCTACTGAGTAATCATATACGCCAAATTTTATAACATGTTAACCTCAACTGACACTCATAAAATTTAGCATAGACAAAGTAATAAAAAAAATTACCCTTTAATTCCTATTCTATTATATTAGACAGTAGTCAATAGTAAATATAAGATGAGCACTTTAGGTCTTCGACAATTACAAGTGATACAGATTCTATAAGACAAATAAAAAATAATAATCCAAAACCTCATAATAAAAAAATAGGTTAAATAATCTTTAAGGCTTTCAACATACCTCAGTCGTACAAGTCGCGCGCAGAATTTACGTACTAGAGAAACAGGTAAAAAACGTTGTTAAGCTAAAGCTCATTTCAGATCAAACTGAAGACATCAGCGAAGAATGCCAATAGTGGATAAATATCCCACAGGATTGCTCGGCCTGAGGCCAGTTTGGCGCGTCAAAATCCGCTGCCTATAATTTCTAACGGCCGGCGTAATGGCAGATGCGATCGTGTGTAACCACCTTTATAGCCCTCGGTAGCCGGTTTGTTGTAATCTTTCAATTCGCGCGGGATCATGCTCGAATTACTATAGTTCCGACTTTTATTTTTAGATTATCACTAGGTAAGTATTTCAGATTAAAATACGTAGTAATATAGATAGATAAACAGTTTATGTATTTGTGACAATATACACAAAAATACATTTTTATAAATATACACAACTTTATTTAATTCTACTTAACTTAAGAATAACTAATTTATATCAATATGTGTGAGTTACAACAATGCAAAAAGGTCTTAAATTCAATATGGGTTATTGTGCAGAGACAAAAACTGATTTCCAGGTACATTTTTTTATAAAGAACAATATTTAGACTTGATTCTACTAAAAATCAAATACATACGGTACACAACAACAATATTGAAATGCATCGTATTATATTTAAAAATCAATATTTGTAGTTTCAGGATTGCTGTGACTTTCATTCTTTCTTTTCATTCTGAAACTAAAACGTTATTAACATATTGATTTGGAAACTATGTAGATACATAATATTGCAGTATAATTAACTTATATTTTATAACTATGAATTGGAATTTAATGAAATTGCTATGCTTTCGTAATATTTTTCAAAAAGAGACTATTTGATAGATCTGACTGAGAATTATATTTGTTTATTTATTATACAAAAATGTCAAAATTGCGTGTTATTTTATTTTTTATACCACTTGGTGATATAAATGATCTAAATAATAATAAAATAATGGTAATTTATAAGGCAAAACAATGTTTGCCGGGTCAGCTAGAATAAATCTCTGTGGCGATATAACGGAATGCAGAAATCTTAACAATAATAACTGAGTATCCCCTACAAATATCGGTACGCGTGCATACACTGTTTTTTACTCACCTCACAGCAAGTTTCCGATAGATGCTCTGCAATCTTGTTGCAAACGGCTTGATATATCTAGAAATAAGAGAGAATATGTTTAGTTAATATGATTATAGTATAACTATGATAATTTATTATGACGTTAATTAGTCTAAAGCAATAAAACATTTATTATTACAACATGTGTTAGTAATTATCCAGTTTCCTACGACTCGCAATATTCCATGTTAAATCGATCACGTGGTCTCCCTCATTATTATCGCTAATTTATTGTTAATTTACAATGATAGTTGAGGTTAACTGACCTGACTCTATCCACATCCTATAAACCTTGACTGGTGCCCCAACGTATACTCTTAGCGCAGGCGGATGAACCATGCCGTATTCATTCATCAAAATTATATTTACTTATAGAATTATTATGTGGTGATGAACATAAGTGTGTTTTTCTAGTGCATTAACAAGACACCGATAAATTGGCAAAAAATTAGTAGCTTTATATCTCATTGTATTTAAAAATTAAATGAAACACTGTAATTAATATGTAATAGAAGTTCAGTTTATTCGTTTCCTGGAAAATATACCTTTAATTAATTATCTATGGTCTGTAGAAGTGCATTATGAAAGACAATACATAGATACCAAAGGATGGTAGTAAAAACAAACCTGTCTATTATGATGCTGGCAGAAGGAATTACATCATTTACTCTCAGAGAAAGATTCATATCTATCTGATACAGTTAAGACGTATTAAGTGGCAGGAATGCAACGTAGATTTTACAGTTAAACGCTTCATGACAGTTGTATTATGTTCAATTAAGACTTAACAATATGTATTATAAAAGAGTAGTACTATTGACCATCTCATTGATAACACTGCGATGGACTATAGTAGCAATATGCAAAACAAAAAAAATAGACTTCCTATTTATTTTATAGTTTTCTTAATTTGATAGATAGATTAGATAACATATACCTGACAATAATATGCTTTCCACCATTGTGGTATAAAAATCCTTCAATATATTAAAAAGAAAAAAAAAATGGAATCAGAAAATAATAGAAGATTCCCACATAAGTATACAGAGTTATGATTAATTTACAAATAATACTACGACCGTTATCAATTCCCATATAAAGCGATATCTGCTCGTAATTCTAACAAGGAGGTTCGTTACAACAGGGAATAAACGGAACCCGCGCTTTACATTGGTAATCTCAAACCTGTCACAAAGTAAGAGAGGAACGTCTGAAGTCTTGTGCAAATTGCGAAAATGGTAATAACGTTTTCCAAAGAAGCATATCTCTACATATCAAAGAAACTTGCAACTGAAACGGCCATATACCAAAAGGAAGACTAAATGATAATACCGGCAATACGCTATGATCATCTATGAAATTGCGCTGAGGTAAACTTGTCACAGAATCGCCTGCGTAGATACCTATGTCTCACTTATTTCAGCCGCCAAGAGGCTGTCTCTATAAGAGGTGTTTCGGTTAAAGGATGGTTAAAGGGTACACCCAATAGTGAGTTCACTATTGGGTATAGAAATTCTAGCACTCTGGAACGAGAACTAAAGGTTTCGCGCAGATAAAGTTAGTTATTTCCTTAACTAATACAACATTCATCATCATCATCATCTGCTTCTTCCTTATCCTATTTATTTGGGGTCGACGTAATATGTTTTTCTCTTCCATTCATCCCTGTTTGCTGTCATCTCGTTATTTACCCTTTCTTATCTTATCTTTGACCCGCCCTTTGTGTTGCAACAACCCTTGTCCATTTCTCGCTGTGGCCGGGTGCTACACCTGCGCATCGCCTCAGGGTACGGTCCGATCGGTCTAGTCCGATCATCAATTCGTTCACTCAAATTCATATTACGAGAGAATAGTTTAGGCTTCAGTTTTTTATGACCGGCCGCCTGCCTGACATCAACCCTCCCAGGACACTCGTAGGATGCCTGATAAAATATTCCTATACTGTTCTAAAAACGCTTTTAAAATCTTGAAAGCCAATAATTATCATAATACTAAATAATACCACGCATTAATGTATATGACAGAAAGCACCATATTTTTTTTATTAACTACCGTAACCTAAATTAACAGTCATATTATTCTGCATCTAAAATTTATAATGTCTTCCCTCGAGCTTTATATTATACTTAGCATGTATTAACTTGTTGGATCCGATCTACCCTTAAATCCTATATTAATTGATGTAATACCATTATATTTGCGTATATTATTAAGCTTTTATGGAATAAATAATTATAAACCCATGTTCACAATTATGATAATCCAGTTGGCTACTGTAATACTAGTTTATTCATTTTTAATCGATACTGCTACACAGCATGGGGCTAGATTAATATATGCAATTAATAACAAGTTTTATATCAATAAATATTGGTATCGTTGAGTTAGTTAATATTGCAAGTACCACCATAACAACTCGCTAAGTTCCCACTAAAGGGTACGTGTTACTATAATGTAGTAAATAACATGCTCACGGCCCAAGTGATTAGTATATATGTATATTATATCATGATGTGACACTTGTGGAACTCAAGTGATGCCCATTTGGAAAGCCTAATGTGTCATGCCCCCGTAACAAATAATATCCAAGCCATGTCTTTGCAGCTGAAATAATGATGCTAACCCGATGATGGTTTTTTAGTGTTTTGCTCAGCTTATACTGTTATTATAATGGTTTACTTCCCTAGTCTACAATATTTTGAACAGATTTTCTACTTCATTATAATATATACTATAAATACAAAATAATATAACTGTATATTTTTATAGCTTTAGAATTTACTGTTAATTAATATTATATTAAATGTATTGATAAAAGACAACAAGTGCTAAATTATTATGAGAAATATGTCATAATAATATATAACATCAGTTAGAAGCTTGTTAAAATTAATATTATGTATTACGTTAAGCAAATACTTTTATATACATTAGGCCGATTGTGTTGATGCACGCGTTCGCACCACTCCCGGGCTGCTACTGAAAATCAGTGTTTTGCTCGTTGAGTAAATTGTTCACTAAGTAGCTCAACCCTTTCGTATCCCTGTGGCACCTAATATATATTTTTTTTGTTTTCATTTATAAAGTATACATAGTAAGTTAAAGTGCATTGTTTTTATTTCTTCTTATGTATAATTTTCTTACACGTATATACCTACCTGTTCATAGCATTTTGTTCGTAATATTTCGGATACGAATAAATATATTATCTATCTATCTACATATAATTATGAGATATTCTTTTGAGGTATAAGAACACAAATAGTAGGTATAATTAATTGGAAATGTTTTTATATAAAAGCTAGATGACCAATAAAATTAATTACCGTTATATATGGTTAAAGGAATGCCAATGGCTCAATATGGCAAAGGTATGATACATTATATCTGTTCTATGGAATTAGTTTCTATATATAGCCATGGAAAGTTTGGAATCAACAAATTGGAACAAATGAAAGAAGAAATATGATGCAACTTATAGTGGAAAACGAGTTCAGTTCTAAATATATATTTATATTACATATATTATATTATAATTAAAAATCTTCCTCGATTTTTTATCACGTAAAATCATTGCGTAATACAATGTCACATCTATATTAGCCATGTTAAGAAGTTTACACGAATACTTCTTAGCGGAACATAACTCCAAGTATGCCAGGTAAAGCTAGTTCATAGAAATATGTTGGCATGGACACAAGACGGTTTGACATTTCTACAATGACTACTAATCGCGTGTTACGTGCTCTTTCTAAGAATTTGACTAACCAACAAGTTTTAATTATTTTTAAATTAATCCCTTTATTTATTGTTTGTCAGATTTCTGTCCTACATATAAGTCAATAATGCAGATCAATTGATAAAATAGATATACAAAAAGAAAAATAAATAATTATTCTACAATGTTCTGTATTGTTAGCGATGATGCAATTTCTCGTCATTTCTTTTCCACTCTAAATACTGGCTGAACTTAATACAGATGCAGTTAAAAACAGAATAAAAAGCACTTCTTAGAGCTCTTGCTCAATTGACTAAAAAATCTTGATGACATGACAAATGTTTTTGAAAATTTCATAATATTCGCTAATCTTTCCAACAAGCGTTACACAAACATTTGATCGTCGACAATAGACAATATTTGCATGCAAAGATGTAAGGTCATTGTATTTGTGTAAAGTAGGTACATACACATGGCACTTTACTATGCCAATCAAACATCGAATAAAAACCATTGTATAGTTAGAAAAAAAAACATTATTCGTCTTAGATTCACCGCTTTGTAATGAAGATTATATTATTTTGGACACAAAACTTAAATAAAAACACATAGTTCTCATTTTGTTTAAAAAACATAAGCACAGCGACTTGCTTGTTCTACTTACTCAATTTGCAGTTATTTATGTAATAATAAAAATAACCACTGAAAGGAGCAACATATTACATTCATTTAAATTGAAGATACATTATTTCTATTTAATATCCACTAACATATTTACCACATACATATTTTTTTAGAAGATCGTATGTTATCATATTTTTATAAATCGTTCCTCAACTTTCTACTTTACGGTTAATGATCATGTACAAGCTTTATCCTGTCCGTAGTATATATGTCCTTTGGCAGCTCTATTTTCATTAGAAACTTATTTCTTACATTTTTTATTCGAAAATTAGTACCACATTAAAAAGCAATAACCTTCTACTAAACACAACTACACTACTTGAGGCTTATTGTTTGTAGTCGATGTTCCTGAGAACTAAGGTGATAAATACCTCCGCACCGACTAATTATACTGCCAATAGTCCGTCCTGGCATTTCCGCACTTAAGCTGGTAGTTGACCAATTATTCATGAAAATAAATAGATATTATAAATAAATACGCCTAATGCATCCATAATCTTAATATTTACGCTGAAAACATGCATAATTAACTAGTTTTTATTATCTTTCGTCGAGATCACGGCTCTTTTAACTAGCCAACAGGATCGTATTATGGATACGCTTAAATAAATAGATAATAATGATAAGAATCAGT